AAAAACAAGACAAAACAAAACTGAAAAGAAAAAAGGGGAAAATCATCCCTGCCTTCAACCTCATTTTGTTGTGTATCCTTCAGGATATTTTTCTTGTGCCGTGGGGGTGATCACACCCTCCCTCAGATGCAGTCCTGCACCTACCTACACAAACACGTTCTTTCTGTTTCTTGGAAACAGTGGGATCGTCTTGTTCAAAACCCTGTTTTTCTCACTTAGCAAGGCATTGTGAACCTTTGCAGTAGCATCATAAACACAGACCTCCTCTTGTCGTAGTTTATTGTATGAGTGACCCCTGTGCCTCATTTCTTCTTCCTCTCACTGGTGGGTCCTTCCCCTCACTGCTCACACTTTTGGCCTGTAAACAGTGCTGGGACTAGCGGTCTTGGATATGTGTTCTTACGCTATGGCCTGGAGATTGTTCTAATGTAAATTCCCTAGAGTGCGTTTATTGGACCAAAGGACGTGGATATTTTAAAAGTTTGGGCCACATAGTGCCTTTAGAAAGGCTGTATCAGGGACGCACTCACCCATAGTTCCCGCAGCCTGGACCCCGTATCCATCCCAGCACTGGGCAGTCAGACAGTGGAAGATGATATCTTATTGTGATCTTAATTTCTTTAATAACTGGAGAGCTTGGGCTTGTTTCCATGTGGTCATTGGTCATTTTATGTTTGTCCTTTAATGATGTGTTCATGTCCTTTGCACATATTTTCTTTTGAGACAGAGTTGCAGATTTTCTCTCCCGTCTTTCTTTTCAGATGGAGCCTTGCTCTGTCACTCAGGCTGGAGTGCAGTGGTGGGATCTCGGCTCACTGCAGCCTCCGCCTCTTGGGTTCAGGCGATTCTCCTGCCTCAGCCTCCTGAGTAGTTGGGATTACAGGCATGCGCCACCACGCCCAGCTAATTTTTTTTGTTCCTTTGAGACGGAGTCTTGCTCTATCGCCCAGTCTGGAGTATAGTGGCGTGATCTCGGCTCATTGCAATCTCCACCTTCCAGGTTCAAGCGATTCTCCTGCCTCAGCCTCCTGAGTAGCTGGGACTACAGGCATGTGCCACCATGCTCCACTCATTTTTTTTATTTTTAGTAGAGACGGGGTTTCACCATGTTGGCCAGGATGGTCTTGATCCCTTGACCTCGTGATCTGCCCGCCTTGGCTTACCAAAGTGCTGGGATTACAGGCGTGAGCCACGTCACTCGGCCCCTCATTTATTGATATAATCGCTTTTGGATCGTTTGAGGTATATTCTTTTAGATCGTTTTCTATGAATTTATATACATACATAATTTAGATAGCTTTACAGTGGTTTAAAGAGATGGAGCCTCACTGTGTCACCCAGGGTAGAGTACAGTAGCATGATCATAGCTCACTGCAGCGTTGAACTCCTGGGCTCTAGCGACCCTCCTGCCTCAGCCTCCTGAGTAGCTAGGATTACAGGTGTGAACCACCATGCCTGGCTGTTTTTATAAAAGTGGGATGATATTCAATGTATGGTTCTCTGATCTCCACCCCCAAACTTAATATATCTTGGAGAGTGTCATATGTAAGCAACACGAATCTATTCCTTTCTTTTTGAATGACTGCATAGTTTTTTTGAACAGCTTTCTTGAAATATTTATATATCATAAAGTTACTTATTTAAAGTATACAATTCAGTAGTTTTTGGTGGTATTCACAGAGCTGTGCAAGCATCATCGTAATCAATTTTAGAACCTTTTTATATTGCCTTGAAATGAAATCTGCTACCTTTTAGCTATAAGCTTCTAATCCCCCATCCCCTCAGCCTAAGCAGCCACTAATCTGTCTGTCTCTATGAAGTTGTATACTCTGGACATTTGATGAAAATAGAATCATGGTCTTTTATGTCTGCCTTTTTTCACTTGGCATAATGTATTCAAGGGTCATCAGTGTTGTGGGATGTATCAGTACTTTTTTTTTTTTTGATGGAGTCTTGCTCTGTCATCTGGCTGGAGTGCAGTGGGGCGATCTCGGCTCACTGCAACCTCTGCCGCCCAGGTTCAAGAGATTCTCCTGCCTCAGCCTCTCGAGTAGCTGGGACTACAGGCACACGCCACCATGCCTGGCTAATTTTTGTATTTTTAGTAGAGATGGGGTTTCGCCCTGTTGGCCAGGATGGTCTCTATCTCTTGACCTTGTGATCTCCCTGCCTCAGCCTCCCAAAGTGCTAGGATTACAGGCGTGAGCCACCGCACCCGGCCCAGTACATTATTTTTAATGGCTGTGAATATTATTCCATTGTATGGACACAGCACATTTTGTTTATTCATCAGTTGATAGACATTTGGGTTGTACCCATCTTTTGGCAAGAGTGAAGAATGCAGTTGTGAATGTTTGTGTACAAGTATTTGCTTGAATACCTGTTTTCAGTTCTTTTGTGTCTATCCCTAGGGGTAGAATTTCTGGGTCATGTGGTCACAGTTCATGTGGGACTTTTTGAGGAATTGCCAAATTATTTTCCACAGCAGCTGTACTGTCTTACCTTCCTCCCAGCCGTATCTGAGGGCTCTGATTTCTCCACATCCTTGCTAACACTTGTGGTATTCTGTTTTTTGATCACAGCTATGCCAGTGGTGTGAGTGGCAGCTCGCTGTGGTTTGATTTGCATTTCCTGATGACGAGTGTTTTGAGTGTCTCTCCATGCACGTATTACCCCTTGTATATCTCCTTTAGGGATGTGTGTATTTAGATCCTTTGCCCATTTTTAAATTGAGTTGTCTTTTTCCTGCTGAGTTGTACGAGTTGTTTTTGTAGAGGCACGTCCTTTATCAGATACATGATTCGCAAATATTTTCTACCATTCTGTGCACTTTTGACTTACTTGATAGTAAGTATGAGGAATTAGTGTTAACTTTTCTTTAAATGTGTGGTAGAATCTACAAACGAAGCCATCTGGGTCTGGGCTTTTCATTATGCATTATTTTTTGATCATGAGTTTGATCTATTTATTTGTTACATCTTTAGATTTTCTATTTCTTACTGGGTAGGTTTTGATAGGTTGTGTTTTTCTAGGAATTTGTTCATCTAAGTTATCCAATTTATTGACCTATAGTTTATAGTATTTGTATTTTATCCTGTGAAGGTAGCTTATTTTAACCAGTTTTCTACAGACATGTAAGTTGTTTTTACTTTTTACGGTTAGAAACGGTGCTGCAGTGAACATTTGAGTCTATCTGTCTTTGTGTACATTGCAAGCGTGTTAGAGGATGGATTGTTAGACGTGGAATTGCGGGTCAGAGGTCTGTGTATTTAAAATGTTGATTGTTTCTGTTCCATTATCCTCCTCCTGCTCATCTTTCTATCCTTATTGATTGGCATAAGCTCTTTATGTCGGTAATCTTGGTCTCCTAAGCCTGGAGGTGGTAAGCATGCACAGCATGGGTAGTGCACATGTACCCAGAGCCGATGGGAAGAGGAGGTTTGGCATCCGGATGTTTGACGGCTCACGTCTGCTTAAGGGAGTCGGATGTGGGTGCCCTAAGCCCACCCCGTACATTCATTCTTGGGGTTTCTAGATGCCAGATCCTGAACTGCTGATAGGTCAGGGGCTTTTTGCCTCTGACAGGCTGGCTTTGGCCTGACAGAGGCTGTCTGGGGTCAACAGCAGGGCTGGGTCTCTCCAGGGACTTCGCCAGGCTCCTTCCCAGGGTGGTTCTGGGAATTCTGGGAGCAGTGGGAGCTGTAGGCAGTTCTGGCCCACGGTGCCTGCAGAGCTAGGGAGAGTGCCTGGAGGCCCCAGCTCCGCGTGAGGAAGGACTGAAGACAGACACAGCATTGCTCATCACCGCTTTCTTTTCTCTGTTCTTCACTGGGGACCGTCTCTTCTGGGTGCTTACTGACTCATGGCTTCCCATGCCCAGATGTGGGCAGTGACGTTAGTTTGAGAAAGGGTTGCAGTTTTATGGGACGGGAAGTGGGAGGACCTCCGTGTGTGTTTTGTTGGGGTGGAGCTGCCAGCCCCTCACACTTCCATTCCACTTCCCTTTGTTCCTTTTTGCTCTTACTGGAGTAGACAAGGGTGGCATCAAAGTAGGTTAAAGGTTTGGACAAATGCAGTTTGGGATTTAAAGTAACCCATCTAGGCTGGGCGCAGGGCTCACGCCTGTCATCCCAACACTTTGGGAGGCTTAGGTGGCCAGATCACATGTGGTCAGGAGTTCAAGACCAGCCTGGCCAACATGGTGAAACTACGTCTCTACTAAAATAACAAAAATTAGCTGGGCATGGTGGTGGTGGGCGCCTGTAATCCCAGCTACTTGGGAGGCTGAGGCAGGAGAATCACTTGAACCTGGGAGATGGGTGCTGCAGTGAACTGAGATTGCACCACTCCAGCCTGGGCGACAGAGCAAGAATCCATCTCAAAAACAAAATGAAACAGAACAAAAAAAAACCCCTCTGGGGACTCAGAGGCCTGGGTTCAGTGGTGTTCAGGTTTTGTTTCACCAGCTTTAGGGGGCAGGGGACAGGGCAGGCAGAGGCAGAGGCGGCACAGCTGGGGCTCAGTTCCCTCCACCCCCCGGCCCTGCTGCTCTGGCCACAGCAGCTCTACTTTGACTGGTGGGTTTCCTGTATCAGGGTGTGGAATGTCACTTATGTGGACACCTTGGCCCCGTTGCTGGGTTGAAAACATGCTACATATGGCTTCTGCCGGAGGCTGAATCCCGAGGATGGCAGGCGTTTGTGGAATTTGGCCTTTCCCAGGGGCCCCGCAGGCCCCTTACCTTGACAGAGACTGAGTGTCTGTCCCCTAGGGCCGAGGGTCCGCGGCCCGGGCTGCTGTATTCTCTCTCTTGCCGTGTGGGATGCTCGGCCTTCTAGCCCTGCACAGGCAAAATCAAATTATCTTCTCTGTTGATCCAAATGAATGTGGTCCCTGGGGAAGCCCCTGGCTCAGCTTCCAGACAGTTGGTGAGGAAGAGGCTTTGGCCGTGGACCTCCGGGCTGATCCCCGTCTTTCTGTCCCCCGCTTTTGTCTTTCAGTCGTCGGAGTTTTTCGAGATGCTGGAGAAAATGCAGGTGAGTACGAACCCCCACTACAGGGGGGAAGAAGCCCAGCCCTGGAGGTGGGTGGCATAGGGACCAGGCAGAACCCCCGGGCAGAAGTTGGGTGCCCTGGAGGGTGGGGCAGAGAAGAGAGGATCACATCCCCTTGGCCCAGACAACCCAAGGCCTTTTTGCTGTTGAGGGGCATGGAGCACTTTGGGAACACTCCTGTGGAAGGACAGGGAGGATAAAAAGCAGAACTTCCCTAACAGAGCAGCTGGGGCGGCCAGAAGCCCTGTGGATGTGGAGGAGGGTTTGAAGGGCCCATTGTTCCTGGAACAAGCTGGAAAGAAAGCTTGAAAGAACTAGCTGCTTCATGGGGGAGTCATCTTGTGTGGGGAGGCAGAGGGGCAGGGTGGGAGGCCGCCCTGAGTTCAAATCTTGCCTCAGACACTTAACTAGCACAAGTTCCTTGCCTGTTCTAAGCCTCTGTAAATAAAGAGGAAGAAAAGCACCACTTCCGTGGTGGCTGGGTGAAATGAGATGATCTGTGTGAACACGTGGTAGGCACGTCATAAAGCTGGTGTGTCGTGTGGGTTTGGGGTCTCTGCCCTTCCTCTCCAGGGTCAGGCTCCCAGGTAAGAGCTGCTGCCCTGGGGAGTATGTGCAGAGGTCCCGAAGGGCTCATTGGCGTGGGCAGGAAGCGTGGGAAGACCATGCTGACAGTGGCACCTGTAGCTCAAGCATGCATCTGGGCTCAGAGATGGACAGGCGTCGTTTCTTCCTGACAGGGCCCTCAGAAGTAGGTCTATTATTACTGTTATCCTCATAGGACAGGTGAGAAAATCGAGGCACAGAACTATTAAAGGAAGCACTCAGAGGGTGTGTGGCTTGTAAATAGCTTCTGAGCCAGAGAGTTCAGCCATCATGTCATGATGCTTTGTACCCTGGGTAGGTGCTCCAGGCTCAGGGGAGAAGATTCTGCAATCGTGGTCTGGAAGTCCTAGGAGGAGGGGCAGATACAGCGCGCACCACAGTCCCGAGATGCAGGCGAGGCAGCCAGGTCTCCCTGAGTGTGGGGAGGGAGGAGAGACGCTATTGAAGGGAGAACATTGTTCCTGGTTGTGCCCCCGCGAGCAGGTTAAGATTGTCCTCTCTACCTGGCAGCGTGTAGACAACAAACGCATCTTCTACACATTCAGGGACTTATCATCAATGTGCAGAGACAAGGATAGCACATGCCTGACCACGAGTGGCAGGAGATGGTATATAATCAAGTGCTCAGTTGCTTGGAGCAAAGCTGGGATTTTCTCCTCAAGTCAGTGGGAGCCTGGCACTCTGGGAAGCTGGCAGGGGCTTTGCAGCCCACCCAGCCTTCTCTCGGGTTGCTCCTCAGATCCTCTCTTCCTTCGCCCCAGCTGGAGTCCCCTTCCCACAGCTTTCCCCGACAAAGGGCCTCTCTGAGCACAGCATTCAGCTGCAGTTAACCAGCCTCAGACTCTTCTTTTTTTTTTTTTTTTTGAGACAGAGTTTTGCTCTGTCACCCAGGCTGGAGTGCAGTGGCGTGATCTTGGCTCACCGCAACCTCTGCCTCCCAGGTTCAAGTGATTCTCCTGCCTCAGCCTCTGGAGTAGCTGGGACTACAGGTGTGTGACACCATGCCAGGCTAATTTTTGTAATTTTAGTAGAGATGGGGTTTCACCATATCAGCCAGGCCGGTCTCGAACTCCTGACCTCGTGATCCTCTCACCTTGGCCTCCCAAAGTGCTGGGATTACAGGCGTGAGCCACTGCGCCCAGCCTGTTCTGTTTAGAGGCTGCTGGGCTTGTCTTTTCATCTAGATGGTGCGCTTTCTAGGGCAGGGGTCTTGTTTGATTCTCCCTCTGTCTCTGCAATGGCTGGTAACCATGGGTGGGCTGTCTGTTCCATTTCAGCTGAGACTGTTGAAGCCACATTCCTGGGTGTTTAAGCCTCTACCATGTGGCCCCTGGGCCCAGCCTCAGAGATTCACTTGTTAGGAAGAAGCTCCTGTCTGGGGCGCTGATGGTGATGGAGTGCCCATGTGGGCCTTGAGCCTCGGCTCCATCTCTCTTCATCTTGCAACTGGAGAAACTGAACCTCGGGGCAGTGAAGTGCCCGGGTCACTGTGCTAGTTGTGAAAAGCTGAAACTGGGACCTGGGATTCCCAGTTCCCAGCCCAGGAGTCTAGGAACTGGAAAAGGGGCAGAGCCCTGTGAAGCAGGAGGGGCCAGGTGCACAAGCTCTGGATTCTTTGTCTCGGCTTCGGGTTCTAACCCTGACGCTTTCTAGCTGAGTATCTCTGGCCAAGTCAGTTTCCGTCTCTGAGCCTTAATTCTTCGTTGAGGGGAGAAGGGGAAATAAAGATAATACCTGTGGAGGCTGGGTGTGGTGGCCCACGCCCGTAATCCCAGCACTTTGGGTGGCTGAGGTGGGCGGATCGCCTGAGGTCAGGCATTCTGGAGCAGCCTGGCCGACATGGTGAAACCTTATCTCTACTAAGAATACAAAAAATTAGCCGGGTGTGGTGGCAGGTGCCTGGAATCCCAGCTACTCAGGAGGCTGAGGTAGGAGAATCACTTGAACCCAGGAGGTGGAGGTTGCAGTGAGCTGAGATTGTGCCACTGCACTCAGTGTGGGCGACAGAGCGAGACTCCATCTCTAAATGAATAAATAGCAAAAGAGAATACCTCTTGCTAAGCTAGTGCATGGAGGAGAGAGGGCCCAGTACTGGGCAGTGGCTGCCCGGTTAGGGGAGGGAATGGCGTGGTGGAGGGGGCGGAAGGAGGTTTGCTCTCCTGCCCTAGGGGCTGTTCCCAGCCAGGGATGACTAATGCAGCCAAACAAAACAGACTCCTGGCATCGCTGCCCCCACCTGCCGTCCGCCCAGTGTGCCACCCGGGACAGGGTCTGTAGGGCCATGCAGGTGACTTTCTGTGTGTGTGAGAGAGGAGTGCCTGTCCAGTGGGAAGGGCCTCCCACGCCCTCCTGAACAATGCTGCAGGGTGACTCAGCCCAGGGGAGTCCGGGGAGGCTGCATCCGAATCCACCCAGTTCACAGGAGCCCTGCTGTCCACAGTGTGTGGGGCACGCCATGTACTTGGTGAGCCGGTGACCCGGCTTCAAATCTAGGCCCTGCCACGTGATAGCTGTGCGGACTTAGGCAAACAGCCTCCTCCTGGGGCGCAGTGTCCTCACTGGTGGAAAGGTGCTGTGAGTTTCAAGGGAGACCCAGAGACAGCTGGCTGGGAAGGTTAAGATCCCCGTGCGTTAGTGTTACGACCAGGCAGAGACTGCTTCTGGACTTCCTGCTTCCGAGGGGAACCGTTTCTTCTGGTTTGTGCACTGCCTCATACTCTCGCCTGATTTTCTCAGTCAGTGTTGGAAATACCACGTGCTGCCCTCCTGCACAACGTGGTTAAGTCAGACTCAGTGATAGAACTGCTGGACAGGGGCCGGGCGCGGTCACTCACACCTGTAATCCCAGCACTTTGTGAAGCTGAGGTGGGTGGATCACCTGAGGTCAGGAGTTCAAGAACTGGCCAGCATGGTGAAACCTCATCTCTGCTAAAAGTACAAAAATTAGCCGGGTGTGGTGGCACATGCCTGTAATCCCAGCTACTCGGGAGGCTGAGGCAGGGGAATCACTTGAACCGGAGAGGTGGAGGCTGTAGTGAGCTGAGACTCTGCCACTGCACTCCAGCCTGGGTGACAGAGAGAGACTGTCTCAAAAAAAAAAAAAAAAAAAAAAAAAAAAGTTTGGCCACTGCTCCCCAGAAGTGAATTCTTTCTGTAGATGAACGCCCTTATTCCATCCCAGGCATCATGTCTGATCCTTGCATCAGCCAGATGGAAGGTGAGTGAGTGTCGTCAGCCTCATTTTACAGGTGACACTGGGGGCTCCAAGAGGCTACGCTTTGTCGAGGGTCACAAATAGGAAGCTCGCAGCAGAGTGAGGGCCAGCACCAGGGCTCCTGCCCGTCCCCTGGGGCCTGTAGGCACCGGGCCTAGAGCGCGGGACCTCACACCAGCAGGCACGGGTTCCCATGTTCCTCTTCCCTTACTGACTCTGTGACCCTAAGACAGACGTTTAAGCTTTGGATGACAATACTGCCTCCTTCATGATAATAACGACCCACAGCATTTATTATACAGCAATCCGCGTTCCAAGTGCTGAGCGCATTGTTAAGACTGAACCCTCACCACCATAGTGGACACCACCATCATTCCCATTTCACGGATGAGAACACTGAGTCACAGAGAGGCTTCTGCGGCTCGCCAAGGTCATCAGGCTGATAGGAGGCAGTGTTGGGATTTGAACCCTGGTGATCTGGCTCAAGTCTGTGCCATCAGCCCAGCGGCCCTGCCGCCTCACCTGAGGCTGCTGTGAGGCCGACAGTGGCCAGATGTGGGGTGTACCAGCCCAGCACGGGCCAGCTGCGGCTCCGCTCCTGTTACTAACCCCTGCGAGGCCAGGTGCTCTTCCTCCAGCCCTTTCTTCTGACCTTTGCTTTTCTGTGGATTCTGTTTTCCTTGTTTCTATAGGGGATCAAGCTTGAAGAGCAGAAGCCAGGACCCCAGAAGAACAAGGTGGGCTGGGTGGGTGAGGGGGCGGCCAGATGGCCCTGGTGAGGGGCCAGGGCGAGAGGAAGGCAGGAGGAGCTGCCAGGTGCTGGGGTCTTCCATCTCACACCCTCTAACTCTGACCTTCGCCACGGCCCCTGAGTGACTGTGCCCTTGTTAGCCTAGTGCAGGATGGGCAGCAAAGGGGTCCTGGCTCCATGCCTTAGGGCAGCTTCTGAGCAGGCTGGGGGAGGCCTCGGTGGGAGCTCAGGCTTGGCCGTGTGGCCTGGCTCTTCCCTGTCCTGTACAGCGTGAGGCTGTCAGGCTATGTCCTGGGTTCCAGGGGGCAGTCGGCTCTCAGCTTCAGGTTCCATTTCCAAGCGCAGGGGTGCCGCTTATGCCTTGGAGGTCAGACCCCTTGCCTAGAGACGAGCGTTGGGTGAGACCAGGGGTCGTTTTCCGGAATTGGCATTCTAGGATGAGGAGCTGGTATCACGGGCAGTGAGAAGTTCAGCGCCTTCGTCTATTGCATCATCAGCTGGCAGGGTTTATGTTTGGGTTCTGTCAGTTTGGACAAGAACATGGTGGATGTCCGATCCCAGAGCTGCTTCTGAGCTGTTCTTCCACTGACTGTGCCTCCCTCAAAGCCCCAGGCAGCCTGCTAAGCCCCCACGGCAGACCCCCTTGCTAGGCCTGGAAACAGCGCTCAGACTCCATGAGCGCTGCCGGGACTCGCGGTGACGTCCCCTGGTTTGTCTTGCAGGATGACTACATCCCGTACCCCAGCATCGACGAGGTAGGCACCCCCACTCCCACCTGCTCTGCAGCCTGCGCTGGGTCCCGTCCCTGGGAAATGAGGGCCATGGGCTGTGCCAGCCCCACAGGGGAGAGAACCTGGGGCCTGGGACCTCCTTCCTGTCTTTGCCGTTGTAACCTCAGCTTTTCCATGTGGAAGTTGGGGGTGCTCATCTCGGCCTTGCCACCCTGGGGCTACAGGGTTGGTGAAGGAAGCTGGAGAGGCTGCGGGGCTTAGAAGAGGGGTTCATGTTACTGCCTTTGGCCTCAGGTACCAGTGGGTACCAGGCCCTCTCCTGGGAGCAGCACGGAGGTAGTGGGGACACGGCCACTGGCCCCCTCTCCCCTGCGGTCCCAAAGGCCGGCTGCAGTGCGAGGCCCTCCCTCTGCCTTCAGGTTGTGGAGAAGGGAGGCCCGTACCCTCAGGTCATCCTGCCCCAGTTTGGGGGCTACTGGATTGAGGACCCAGAGAACGTGGGCACCCCAACATCGCTGGGCAGCAGCATCTGTGAGGAGGAGGAAGAGGACAACCTCAGCCCCAACACATTTGGCTACAAGCTGGAGTGCAAGGGCGAAGCCAGGGCCTACCGCAGGCACTTCCTGGGGAAGGTGAGGCTGGGGACCTGGGGAGAGGAGCTGCCGGGGTGGGGGAGGGCAGGGTGCCCTGGGGTCCTCTCTCCAGGGCCTACCGCAGGCACTTCCTGGGGAAGGTGAGGCTGAGGACCTGGGGAGAGGAGCTGCCAGGGTGGGGGAGGGCAGGGTGCCCCGGGGTCCTCTCTCCAGAGCCCCCTTTTCCTTTGACTCTTACCTCCTTCCCAGTCTGTGCTTTCGTTTCTGCCTGCTGCTATCTCAGTTGAAGGGTCTGATGGGCCCTGTCCTGGGATAGGGGACGGGGCAGGGGGGCTGTGCACAGTCAGGGGGCCCAGTGCAATGAGTCCTTGTGGGGACCACCCCCGCAAATGTGTTAGGAGGTGATGGAATGGGTACTGTTTGCGGTGAAGGACGGTGGGTGGAGATTTGAGTGTTGGGGAAAAATGTTTTCACACCTCGGAAGTCTCTGTTTCCATCTAATCGCACAAGTCTCTCTTGTCCTCATTCAGGTAGGTCCTCTGAGTACAGGTACTGCTTAGTGGCTGGCTGGGAGCCTCTGATGGTTTAAAAGTGACAAAGTTACATTAAAAAAATATATTCTGCCCTTCTGCCGTAACAGATTCTTGAGGTAAGCCTAGGGCAGATTCCGGAAGTCTGTAGCCTGAAGCCGCTTTGCAGTCTTACAGGAGGGGAGAGGCTGCAGCAGAGCCCTGGGGGTCTTGTTAGCAAGCGGATTCCAGGGCCTGGCTGTGATCCAGCTGGTCTGGGGAGCTGTGTTTTTCGCCTGTGTTCCCCGAGCCAGGGAGTGGTCCAGAAACCTCCCAGCTGCCAGTTGGTGGAGGTGCCAGGGTTCCTCCTTGCTGTCCTGCCCCAAATAGTCTTAATTGGGGAGGGCTGCCCCCCGGGAATGAGAACGTGGAGTCAGTTTCCTGCAGGCAAGACGTTGTGCTTTAGAGTCAAGACAGATGTGCGTTTGAACCCTGGATCTGTTACTTACTAGTTGTGTGGTCCCAGGCAGTGACTTAACCTCCATGCCCATGGGTTTTCCCATGTGTGAAAACGAGGATGCTGTTCTCTCCCGAATACAGTCGTGGTCAGGCGTGAAGGACACGGGTATGAAGCCTCTGGCACAGCGCCTGGGCATCCTGAAGATTCTGTCGGTGCCCATTCATGTCGTTGTCACTGGCATCCATAGCATCCTTCTTGTTGCTGTGTATTCTCACGCCTGGTGAAGGAGCTGGTGTGGGGAGACATATCAGGAAGGTTTCTTCATCCTTCCCGCTCACACCCAGTTTCTCTTTTTAGGATCATCTAAACTTTTATTGTACTGGCAGCAGCCTGGGGAACTTGATCCTGTCTGTCAAGTGCGAGGAGGCAGAGGGGATCGAGTACCTTCGGATCATTCTCAGGTGGGTCTGTCGCACAGCTTGAGGCCGCTCCTCTTCCAGGCGGGGCTCTCATCAGTGGTGGTGGGGGCTGGGGTGAGACTCAGAAATACCAGTCTGACCAGTCTGGTCTGGATGCACTGGGGCGACAGGTCTGTTGGAATCCTGGGGCTGTGTCTGAAGTTTCCTAGCAGGGAGACTGTGTGCTCCATCAGCTGACAGTGGGGTCCTGGTCTCAAGGTCACCCAGACCATACCCCTCCCTGCCCCTGTTTCTTACAAGGCCATGGCTCTGGGAAAGATGGGAAGAAAAGTAGGGATAGTTCAGTGTGACTCATCCTGATGAGTCCTGGGAGAGGGTTCTCCAGGGTCCAGCCTGTGGTGTACATCTCGTCAGGAAATGTAGTGCCCTGCGTGTTTGTCGTGTGTGCTGGGTTCCCTGAGGTGCGGTGATGTTCACAACAGGAGCACTGATTTATAGCGGAAGCCAGGATACCTCTCTCTGGATGGTGACCTTCTCAAGGGCAGGAACTGGAACTGGTTTCTGTTTGGTTTAGCTAACATGTTTTGTAAAACCTTCAGACACAATGAGGGCTGAGACTTGGTCCCTGTTCTCTGAAAGGCACATGGTTTTGTGAATTTTAATGTGTGTCACGGGTGTTGTTATTTTAGCAATAGGCACAGGATGCTTTGGCGGGGAGTCTGTGTCTTATTTATCTCTGTCCCTGGTGGGCTGGTGCTCAGCAGAAAGCTCTCAATCCTTATTTGTGAAATCTAATAGAAAATTCTTGAAGGTATTTGGAAAAGAGCAATCACATTTTTTTTCCTGCCCAAATTTTGAGATAAATATCGGAGGAAATAAGGACGCATAACCCTGCTTTGGGAAAGGTGGGGGTCAGTGGCTGGAGGACGTTGTCAGCACCCATCCAGTCTTAGTTTGTTTCTTATCAAGAAAGGAAGCAATTTTCTCTACAGAGGTTCACTTGGCTGGAAATCATATTTGCAAGGCATAGAAGAGTCAATTAAATAGCAGGAGCCAATTTTCTGAGGGGTTAATAACTGGATCTCCATCTCCAAATAGGGTTTGCAGCTAGGTGAACCTCTGCGAAGAAAATTGCTACCTTAATAAAAATCAGACCAAGATTGGGTAGGATTTTTGAGCAAGATGACAACGGAATACAAAGATGCAACCCCCTTTTTCTAATACTGTATCCTGCGTTAGGACTGGAAGTGCTGCCTCGAGGCTGGAAGCTAGAGAAAGGTGTCGGGCACACAACACGTACTTTGATGGTTTTTTGTTTTTGTTTTGTAATCTGTGGGGCAGTTAGGAGTAAATGTGGGTAAATATTGAGTGTTGAACCGCAGGAAAGAAGTGTCGTATGGGAATCTACTTAGAAAGCAGTGTCGTATGGGAATCTATGAAGTTGGAGATTCTAGGAGAATCCTGTCCTCTTTTGGAGTGAGAATGAGCTGAGGAACAGCTGGGGATCTTTCCACATAGGATTACTTTCGTTGTGGTGGGTCAACAGCATTTGAACTCACTGCCCCGGGCAAGCTCCAATGTGGCCCTCCCAGATGGAAAGCTAGCGGGTAGGGTGGTGAAGAGAAGCCCACACCAGCTTGGAAGTTGGGCGGTCACATCGTGTACTTGGAGTGATTGCCAGGCCAAATTGGAAGCCAGACATAAAAAATTGGCTCCATGGCTTAGCAGCTTTGCCAGACACAAAGAAGAAATTATCCAGAGATGTAATTCCCCTGCTAGCAGTGACTGCTGTCCAAACTTCTTCCTCATTCCCCATAGGCCTCTGGGATTTTTTAACTGATGTCCCAAATTTGTAACTATCAACTCCTCAGTCTAAAATCTAAGTATTCTGACAGCCTGTGTGTGCCATGAAGAGTCTACCCACAGTTTGGGGACAACAAGCCTGTGTAGATTAATTCCGTTTCAAGTTTGGATGTAAAGAAGAAGAAATTTTATAGGTTTGTAAGAGAAGAGATTCTGCCTCAAAAAAGCATAAACTGTTTAGAAAAATAAGAGAGTTTTGAAAAGTATTTACTTTTACAGAAAACCAGGTAAATTTGAGATAATAACTTTGCATTTTCCACGAACTTCTAGAAAAAATACACACTGTGAAAGAAAAGATAGTGTGAGCCAACAGAATGAGAGGAAACAGTTGCTGGTTAAGTTGGGGAGATAATATAAGGAAACTAAAAATGGCCCAAAAGAATTTTAAATGGTATATGAAGCAGTAAAAGGCAGAATCTACTTTGTAGAAAATCCAGTTATTCATATGGGGAACAAGCTTAAGAAACTCTTGCGTAATTCAAAGGAAACACGACAACTTTAAAATGATGAGTGAGATTCTGATGAATATGGAGGGCAGTGAGCAGGAATTAAACATATGGACAGTTGGTGTTCTTAAGCTGATTGAAGACTTACATCTGGGAATCAAAACGACTAACCCATTAACAGACAAAATCAATGAAAGGAAACTAATCGCTGGATGTATTTTGATGAAAATTTAGTATTTCATAGCTATAAAATTACTAGTAGAGTGGAAGCATTCCAAATAGTAAAAGAAGACAAAGAAAATACACATGTAGAAAAGGAAAATGAAGGAATAATAAATATGATAGAAGTGTGAGTACATATGTGATGATAATAAATATAAATGAGTTAAATTCCATTGTCAAACAACGCAGATTCCCAATTTGAGTAATATCTCCAAAAAACCTATACAAATTGATCTATATTAAAGAAAGTAACTCAGAATATTTGAAAATTGTTAAGAAAAACTTACAAAAGTCAAAAACAGAAAGCATGATTGGCAATATTAATATAGAAGAGTAGAATTCCAGGCAAAAAAGCAATCAGTATGATAAAGAGGGCCATTGTCCATCTTTTCATAAAAGGTAAAATCAATAATGAAGATATACACCTTTATATTATCAATAGTATATGTTGTATATGTACACATGTATATATGGAAAAATTCACAGAATACAATTGTAATGGTAGATTTTTAACACACGTCACTTGACATATCAACACTAGGGTAAGAAGTGATATTTATTCATCTCATTAATACGTCAATTATATACATATTTTTCTTTATATGTTTCTGTTTCTGTATCTATCAGACTTTGATCCTCTAACAGATTTTTGCTTCTTTTCAATTGCCTATAGAATATTTACACAAATCGATCACATAGTATATCAGTGGTTTTCTGTGGACCTGCTATATCAGAATCATTTTGGACCTTTAAAACAGAGTAAAGCAAAGCAAGACCAAAAAACAAAAACCCCAACAAATAAAAACCAAAACCTAGACTTCCAGGCTCTAACCTGACCATTTGTACAACACACACACACACACACACACACACACACACACACACACACACACATTAAATAAGATATGTAAAGATGTATAAATATATATATTCTTATTTCCTTCCTTATTTCCATAGCATTCTATAGAATTCTGTAACTTGCTTCTCTTAACAATATATCTTAGAGATTTTTTTCATAATAGCTTATAGAGAATGTCTTAATTTACTTTACTACTGCATAGTATTCCATTGCGTGGATGTGAAATAATTTATTTGATACATCCCCTGGGCCAGGCGTGGTGGCTCACGTCTGTAATCCCAGCACTTTACGGGAGGCCGAGCCAGATGGATCACCTGAGGTCAGGAGTTCAAGACCAGCCTGGCTAACATGGCAAAACCCCGTCTCTACTAAAAATACAAAAGTTAGCTGGGTGTGGTGGCATGCGCCTGTAATCCCAGCTGCTCGGGAGGCTGAGGCAGGAGAATCACTTGAACCTGGGAGGTGGAGGTTGCAGTGAGCCGAGATAGCGCCACTGCACTCCAGCCGGGGTGACAGAGTGAGACTCTGTCTCAATAATAATAATAATAATAATAAATAATACATCCCCTGTTAATGACTATTGCCAATCTTTTGGTAACACAAATAATGATTAAATGAATAACCTTGTACAGATGTCAGTTTTTATGGATTATGATAGTTTCTTGGATGAGATAGCTGGGTTAAAACATAAACCCATTTGTATTTTGATAATGTTAAATTCAAAACTTTGACCAGCAATGTATCAAAGTGCTTCTTATTCCAAAGCCAATAGAATGTACTGTCAAACACTTGATTTTTGCCAATCTCATAGGTAAGAATTGTGTTTAGTGTTGTTTAAGTTTATAATCTTAATATGAATCATGTTGGACATCTTTTCATATTTTTAAGAACCGCTTGTATTTATTTGCTGTGAACTGTCTGTTTATAAGCTTTGCCCCTTTTTAAATTGGGCTGTTAGTTGAGATTCTATTTTAAAAAATCTCGGCTAGGTGCGGTGGCTCACTAGCACTTTGGGAGGCTGAAGTGGGAGGATGACTTGAGCCCAGGAGTTCAAGACCAGCCTGGGCAACATAGGGAGACACTGTCTCTTTAAAAAAAACATTAGCTGGGTGAAGTGACACACACCTGTGGTCCCAGCTCCTCAGGAGGCTGAGGCAGGTGGATTGCTTGAGCCCAGGAGGCAGAGGCTACAATGAGCCATGATCGTGCCACTGCACTACAGCCTGGGTGACAAAACAAGACCCTATTTCTAAGTAAATAAATTCAATCAATCAATCAATCAATCAATCAATCAGTTAACCTATGTAACTAACTTACTTATAGGTAATTATCGATGGCAGCTATGTTTAGGAACTTTTGAACCATTAAGTAAATCTAGATACATTTCAAAGAGCAAGCTCTCTGCTGAATGTATTCACCTACAATTTGATGATCAAACTAGCAATTAATAACAAAATAATGTTTTTAAAAATCCATGAAACCACTCGGAAGTAAACAATCCCAATGCTTTCTTAATAGCTTTTGGGTCAAAGGGAATAGAAGCTGCAGTTATGGAATATTTATAAAGAAATGACATATATAATGTAATACAGAACACCTATGGGTTGTATTCAAAGCAATACTTAGAAGAAAATTCATTACCTTAAATGGTT